CTCAACAATCAAACAGGTAAGTATATGAATGAAATTGATAAAGATTTTTTTAATACTATTTATTGTAATATTAGGTCTTCAACCATTTTGTATAGCAGCTGTAGATAACAATGGTCAAACAAGTAGTCAAAATTGTGTAATGATTGCTGTAGGAGCTACCAATCCGTCTATAATTGCTCCAACATTTGTTCAAAGTACAGCATCACCTGTCGGTACTGTTATGCCTACACAAAGTCGTTTTAGTATTCAAAGTAAGGATTTTTTTTCACACAATATCAGTTTGCAGATGTATTAAATTTTATATAAATGAAATGAAAATTATTTGCTTTATTTTAAAGCAACATTACCACTAAGGAGAACAAGGCTTAATGGGACATATATCGATATATATCAATTAAATACTTATGCCCTTTTCCATCGTCTGGATTGCAAATATTCACCGGATGTTTATTTTATAAACAAAACACTGATTTTTTTTATTCATAATCCCTCATGGGTTTTGGGTGCTACATATTATATAGTAATGACAGAAGGTGTAGCTACTGCTGATCAATATTGTGGTGTTGAAGCTGGTAGTTTTTATGGTAAGATATTTTCATAAAAAATCTTAAATACTCATCGATTTATTTTTTTTAAGGTTATAACAGCTGGAGATTTACAATATGGAATTCAGCAATGTCATCAACAACAACGCCTTCCACTACAACAAGCACAGCAACGACGCACACAGTGACTACTCGAGTAAGTGTTTACTTACTTATTTTCTATTGACGCCATAAAAAGTAAAAAGATAAGGATATGAGGGTGTGGATGTCGATCTTCTCTTCAATCATATCCACACACACACACACAAATTACATTGATCCACGTCGATTAATATTAAATGTCGATTTTGATATTTTTCTTAATTATAACAAATAAATTTTTCTTTTGTCTAGTTTCTCGGTACTACAACATATAACACACTTTATACAACAACTGGTATTCCAGCTTATACAACATCAACAACAACATCAACAACATCAACAACAGCAACAACAGCTACAACAACAACAACAACATCAGTTACTACAGGTAAATTAAGAAAAAAAAAAATTCCTAGTCAATATTCATATAGAGTTTGTTCATGTTTAGCTACAACAACAACAACTACAACAACAGATTATAATCCTGATGCAAATGTTATTTATCCAAAAGATATGGAACGTGCATGTTTACAACCAGTAACAATTGTAACAGTAATTGTAACTATTGCTGTTATTCCACTTCATTTTGTTGGAATGACAACTCTCTTCGTTCAAATGAATTCACTTCATCAACAAGAAATTTTACGAGCTCGAAGTGCACGTCGTAAGCGTTTACGACAAGCACTCGAACTTGAAGAAGAACAAACATTAGTCTAAAATATTATATATACGTGTATGCTTGTTTTTTGGATGAATGTATATGTGTATTTTTTTTTCATTGGTAAAACTTTTAAGAAACGAAAATTGACTATAAAAATATATTGTCTTTGAAAAGATCAAGTTTTTTTTTATTGCTGCATATTGTGATGGTATTTCCATAAAATATATGTAAAGCAAAATCAACATCTGTATCAATTGATGCTTGAACAACACTATTATAATTAACAAATTGAAAATTATGAATAATATATTTCTATCTTATAGTATTTCATTTCATACCTTTGGACTTTGGATATTAAATTATTGACAATTATACTGGTAATAAAGCAAATCTTAAAATTTAAACCATTGTTGCAACCAAAATGTTTAGGATGTGCGAAATGAATAACTTCAAACTCACACTCACATTCTAGTTTGTTTTGAAGAGCATTTTCAAATTGGAAATGAACTATTTAGGGCATATTAAAAGTAGTGATTTTGTTAGATAAAATCCTACAGAAAAGAGTTAATCAAGTTTTTACGCCAACAAATATTTGACCTAGTGTCTAGGTTTAATAATGCACAATCAATTTATTCCAAAAGATATTTTTCAAATAATCTTTGCTTGAAAAATTCATCTTCTTGATAAAGACACTTCATGAAGTAATTAGGGACGAGTTGATGGATAAAGTTTATCAATTACATCGAGCACATGAAAAATACATAGTATTTTATCTGTAGGATAAGATGAATATAAAATAACTATGAAATATTCTGATGTAGGATAGTGAAAGCATCTTTATGAATATATAGTTGGTCATTGTCATAATGATTTTCGATGTTTTGAATGCTAGTCGATGATCTTTGTCTTCTCATTGCATTAATAAGTAGTTTTAAGGAATTACTAATGATTAGAAGTCTTCTTTCTTTTCATATCTGCTAGTTTATTAAAAAGTATTTGACTAATTGTTTTTTAGAAAAGATACAAACCATTGTTTTAAGGCTAAATTACTGCACCAAGCTGAAGTTGATGGAGATTATTCGATGGCAGTTCCTTTACTTTGAAGAATTTGAACTGATTTATGTGTAATATATTCAGTGTTCGTCATCTACAATCACTTCATGTATTTCGCTGTATTTCTTGCGTCAGTCATGCCTAACAAAATGTGATTGTTCGAAATAGTTACTAATTGCTGTATAGTGAGGGCTATAACTGATATAATGAATTTTTTAATCAAGGATTATTTGAAAACTATTTTCAACAAATCTCTTCAAACAAATCGATTTTGCTTAATTAAACATGAGTACTTGGCGAAACAAAAACTTGATCAACTCTTGCTTGTAGGCGCTTTCTCTGTCCAAACTACTGCTTTTAGTATGCTCTAAGTAAATGAATCAGTTGAATATGAATATGGTATTAGAATAATTAAAGTTTATGGTCATTCACTGTATTTTGACTACTTTTTGTTCATTAAAATACTATTTATTTAAAAAACCTTATACAATAGATTATATTTTTGTTTGTTGTTTATGAAATTTGCATTAGTTTGTCTTCTTTTATGTTCATTTCTATTTTTGATTTATGTGTTTAAGGAACTGTTATTTAATTAAAAGATAATGGCACATTTGAATAAGCAGAATCTTTCTAGAAAGTTGTTTTTCTCTACTGAATGTCCAAGGGGAATCAGCCAAAAAATGCGATTTTTACCGGGATACACTTAAGAGATGGCGCCTTGGTTGAGAATATACTGCATACTACCGTAACAAAGTACTTTAAGTCTATGCGCTTTCAGAAAAAGTCCAGTTCTGTCAGAATTATCGGAATTAAGATAAATGCATCAAAGGATGATAGGTTGTGGTCGGATTTTTCTATTTGGCACGCTAGTTTTTTTCTCCAAAATCATTTCCGTCACTCTCTGTTCGAAAAGTATGCTTTTCTCAGAAAAATCCGTAAATCTTTTTCTCTGTTTGTATTTTTCTGATTGCGCATCCGAAAATTCTCGAAAGAGCTTCATTATAGTCAATTGCTTTTATTGTTTTTTGAAAGAGCGTGTCAACCTGTAGTGGCTGTCTTTTTTTAAATTATATAAAAACGCACTTCCGTCGATATATGTCCATTTTTTTAGATGCTGCACTTCTCATGTAGAAACACCTTATGAAGAACATATAAGATCTGACAAGATATTACTGACAGCCGGATGTCTGATTATCGGAATCTTATAAGATTTCATGAAAAGATGACTTGAAGATTGGTATATAAAATCGTAAAAGATTATATACGTTTATCATACGATCTTGTGTGATCATGAAAGAATTCAACAAGTGTTTTCCAAGAATAATTGATTGCTAATAAAACAATCTGTATTATTTATTTCGGCATTTCGAATAGAATAATTTTTTCTTTTTCTTCTGTCTTGGTATTATTCACTCGTGATTTTTCATCTTCATATTTTGTCTTGCTTTATTTAACATTATTTATTACTCTAATCATTGATTTATTTAACAAAGAAGTCAGTTGTACAAATACATTATATGTGCAGCCGATCTCAATGCACTATTATATATATATATCTCGAGAAGTTTACAAACATTGATATCAATTATTTCCTAAAATTGTAACTTGATCAGTTCACGCTTTTAATGTTACTTATATGGTGACAGTGACAAATCAATGCATCCCTACCTATCATCTCGGACATTTTGAATATATATTTTTATGTGTGTAACAATCAAAAACTAAACTAATTCAAACATTGATAAGCGTAGTTCAGCCATTCAAATTTCGAGAAAGCCCTTGGAATGTTCTAGTCAGATAAACAAAAATTAAAATGTATAGAATGAAACTATTTTTGAGTCTTGTTTATTGAACATCTCCCGAAAACTTTATGGTATGAACTGAAAATTTTCTCATAGACTTTCCTCTATCGCTCTAACATAAAGTTTTATGCGATTCCAATGTACCTGACTCAAGATCAAATATTGAGCCGGGACTTAATAAGAGTAAGGGAACACAAGTAATTGTAATAATTAAATGATGAATATATCCAAATATCTATTATATGCTCATTACATTGATTTAATTATATTTATTAGAATATTATTTGATCACAATCAATTGATCAACGAATTTAATATAACTAATATTTTCATGTTAATCAAAAATGTAATAATTCGATTTCTCACTATGCAAATTATAGAATATTTGATTTTCGTCTATGATGAATAACTTAGCTAGCAAATGTGAAGATTAAAAGTTTGACTTTTACCTTCTGGTAATTTGTTTAAGATATCATTTTCTTCTGCATTCATTTTATATTTACTTAATGGTCTGTTATTCAGCACTGTATGAATTTCATCAAACAACATAACCAGAATGTATGCGCTCAAATGTTTGTTCTGCAAAATACTTTTTTTTCAATCATCAAGATTTGTGTGGTGAAATAATCAGTCAACAAAACGTTTCTTTTTTTGTTCTTATTGTTAAAATTTTGTTAATAAATTAAAGTGCTACAAAGAGAAAAATTCAAAATGTTTATTTTATTCAATAGTTTTAATAAAACAATAACAAAATCTATCTTTCACTTTTTTGAAAGTTTATTTCATTGACTCATTCAAATGTCTTTTCGTGTATGGATTCTATTCTTACTCCAACTAGTTAATATATCATTAGCAGATCATTATAAAGGTGGTACTCTATCATGGAAACCAACAAATCCATATTCTTTAACAAGTCCTGTTGAAATTATAATAACAGAACGACATTCATGGACATTCACTAGATATTCATGTGATAACAATATTATTAATACATTTGGTGTTTACAATGATACACAAAATGCAACAACAGCTACAATTATTTGTATAAGTTCAACAGCTACATGTACATCATCACTTTTTCAAAATATTAGTTCACGTTTATATTGTACTGATTTTACAACAGGACTTCAAATATCTACAGGAACTCATTATACAAAACAATATTTAGCAATAAATTCTATAATTGATGTTGCTTCAAGAGGTGCAGCTTGGGCACGTGAAACTTTAACTAATGAATGGTCACTTGTTACTCATATTGATGTAACACCTATTTCGGGTAAAATTAATACTTCACCTGGTATGTTATCTCTTGTGAGTGTTCGAATTTATATATATATATATGAATTTGATTTTAGTAACAGCATCATTACCAATTTTTCAACTTTACAATAATGAAACGTCAGTTATACAAATACTTATAGCTGATTGGGATTATGATCAAGTTGTTCGATGTCGTTGGTCATATCAATATTCATTAGATGAATGTGGAAGTACATGTTTTGATCTACCAAATGCTCAATTAAATTCAGTAGATTGTGCTATTACATGGACACCTGTTCTTAGATCTGCAGATATAGCTAATGGTTTAACTCAATCGACATATGTAGTTGCAATAACAGTCGAAGATTTTGTTAATGCATCAAGTACTACACCTCTTAGTTCAGTACCACATCAAATATTGGTCTATGTTTCTTATCGACCTACCAATACTTGTACAACTCGACCTA